CTGGCGCGATAGTCACTCAGCACGCGCACACTTGACTCAGCCAACTCGCTAGATAGGCTCCCGTGTGCGCGGGAACGCCATTAAGGCCACATTAAGAGAGAGTAATTGCAGCCTGACTCTCAGTCCTCCACCTCCTCGCAAACGCACACACAAACACACGCGTATAAAAGGAGCAGCAACGTAGGTGGTCCCGGTTTTCCCATCAGTTGGCAAACCCTCCTAGCCACGGCTTTTAGCGCACCGTGATAGATTCAAGCGCATTAATATTTATTATAGTAAGGAGAGCAGCACGCTGAGGGTCGACCTCACTCTCTCCCCCACTGTCTAGCGACCGCCTAGCTGCTCAGTTACCTGAGTTAGCGAACTAACCGACCTCCGTTGGAGCGCACACACGCATCCAGATATTTTTGGCTGCGCAAAGGCCACTTGAACACACCCCTAGGGCAATGCAACACGCCAATCGCAATCAGCTGCTACCTCTCTTACACACACTCCCAGGCCTGACTACACGTAGACAGCATTATCCCTGTCTGCGCCAGTGGCCACTGCTGCCTGAGAGAGCAACCGAGGTTCTGTGAACAATATATCCCTAATTCTGGTGACTCCTATCTTTTTCCAAGCAACCGGATTTCGACCTAATGATTGTAGGGCTCTAAACACGCCCGCTATCTAGACGCAACAGGTTTCTGCTACACCTGCAACGCATATTTAAGTGATTTTTCTTTAGCCCAAACATCCTACTGCATTGAAAGGCAAAGCACTTCGAATAGTTATCACGCAAACCTAGGTAAGAAAAGGACATTCACATTTTAAAAAAATGATTAAAAGGTATTCTGTACTTCACCCATTAAACCCCATTTGACACATTGATCTCTCAAATACAAAATACAATTGGGACTGGTACACTCCAGTGCGATTAACTTAAAGTCCTGCACTCTGAGCTGCTTTCTTTCCAAATGAATTGTCAGGTTGTTTAAGTTGGACCTCACAAACGTAAAACTTACCGATGTAAATTGATTTGGTAATCGTGCATTAAAAGCGACTTCTTTTCGGACGCTCTGGTTACCAGTATACTAAGTTAATACAGACTCATATCAAAGGCATAAATTACACCAGCTTTCCCGCTCATAATTTACCAGTGGAAGGTATTGCACACTAATCGACTACGCATTTTTATGAAGAACAAACAGAGTTCAGCTATTACGAACAAGAAAACACCCTCGCTGTGTTTACAGCCACCTGATAATTGTTACCAAACTTCATGTAACGTGGCAATTTAACGTGTATTCGTACTCGAATAGTTGTAATAGCTGACGCGTTTCAACTAAAGATTATATAGTTTCGATGCTCACATGTAAGGAAAATTCCAATTCATACAACAAACCATAAAAACGCTCCTTTCTCGTGCGTCAGCCTAGTTAAACACTTGCAGCGCCCACTTTCTCGGCAGAACCAAGGAGCTTTGTATCCTAACGGGCTTTTGTCGATATTACAGGTCACACCAAAGATATTCAACCGAGCTGCACTCCTAAATATCGGCTTCAGGGAGGCAGTAAAATCAGCCAATTATTCTTGCTTCATTTTCCACGATGTGGACCTTCTTCCCGAGGATGACAGGATGATATATGGTTGCGAGGACCAACCACTTCACATGTCAGCAACTATTGACAAATTTAATTACTCGTAAGTCTTCATTCTTCCAGGTATTGCCTACTTATTTACTGTACCGTGCGTGTATTCTCGTGAACTTTGTCCTTTTTTCATGTGAACCGTTGGTTGTAATCATAAGAACTTGTAAAGTAGGAGAAGTAGGAGAGGTTCCCAAAATAAAGATCAACAGCACAGCATGTGTAGGGCCATTATTCCTGGCCGATAGTACGCGCAGACGTAGCCCATTTCAGTATTATAGAATGTTTTAATCTTTTCGCAGGCAGACGTTTTTGTTAAATATGTTCTCGGGACGTGTGTCTGTACACCTAAGCTATGTCTACCTGCGGCCAACTAATGAGGAACAAATATCGATCGCTGGAATGGCGTCAAAAAACTTAGTTAATTTGAAGATGATGATGACGATGTTCTTTTGGATATAAACGCAACATTAATTAGCGAATTTTCGAGTCTGGTGCCCCAACTCGTCACTGTTTTTGGTAGAACATGCCTTTGGTACTTGTAATTAACACGACCGGTTGGCTTGCCGAATGCTCTTATTAAAGCCGACACGGGAGAATAAGAAGAAGAAAAAAAGGCAACGGATCCAGAATAGCATGCTATTCTCAGAAAAAGGCTGCATATATTTAATGATCAACTTGATGAGAAATTGGAGACCACATAATTTTACACAACTGGATCAATTAATTAATGATAAATTGGTAGAGAAAAGAACCAATCCGATTTGACGACAGATGGATAGCCACGGCCCAGTTTCGCGGGCTCTAGGTAGGCAGTTTGGCAGCTCACACGATGACCGATCGTGGGAATTGAGGCATTTCCAACAGCTCTAAAGCCACATAAACACTGATTCGCATGTGGCAATCATGCTACTTGAATATCTCAGATTATATTTTATAATCACAACCATCGCTCCATCTGTTTTTAATTTCACAGTTAGTATCTAACCGCAAAACTGAGAGTGTTTTATGCAACTAACCGTAGGCTGTTCTACAAAACATCATTTGGAGGGGCAGTAGCAATGACGCGAACACAATTCGAGAAGGCCCTGGGGTATGCAAATACGTACTTTGGATGGGGCTGCGAAGATGACGACATGTACCGGCGACTTACGTTCTCCAACCAAACTTTAGTGAGACGCAATTTCACCTTTGCTCGTTACAAGATGATGAAACATCCCAGAGATGCTGGAAACGAGGAAAACCCCGAGAGGTATGTTCCGTCTCTTTGTCTTTTGTGTGACTCACTTTCTGAAGATCTAATCAACGTTAATAAATAAAATTACTGTTGTTTATTTAGAAGGCGGAGACTGAAGCAGGCCCGACAACTTTGGCAACACGATACCTATGACCAAGTTCAATATTTAATTCGCCGGAGAGAATTGAAAGACAATGGACTTGACTATTACTTCCAAGTCGATATTTTACATCCAAATGTGGGGGAGGCGAGAGCAGAAGCAGAGTCATCAACGGTGTCCAGAAGGTTTAAAGTAGGCTGATGTAACTGCTTATATGTATTTGTTCACTGTACACGGACGTATTTAACCTGCCGGTGGACATCTTCAATGGTGATGTGTCAAAATTATTGGTCAAAAAAATTAGCAAAAAAGGAAAATTTTTGTAAATAAAACTGCGTTCATACTTTGTTTTCTTGTGCCTTAAATGACGCCAGAATGATCGCGGTGTTCTTGTCGATGGCGAATTATTATTTTAGGCAGAAATGTCTTACCGATAAAGACAAAGACCATTGGAACGTTCATTTCTGCCTTAGTTGCCGTTATCAGCCGGTCATAGCTTAACCTAGGAAGGGCGAACCCCGAGGCTCGAACTCCCTTCCTTGTGATTTACGAAGTCCGACGCTGTAACCGCTGCATCACCGGCTCCTTGCCTTGCCGGTTTCACCATCATCATTATCATTTTCCTGCTAGCACTGTGGTTCCTGTTACCTGCAACTATCATGCGGCTGGAAGAAATGAGAGCGCAGCCTATCCGGGGCGGAACTGCGGCTCGGCACTGATGCAGACAAAACTACAGTATTTGGGTGCGCATTGCTATACCTGTCCAACTTCCGCTTAAAATCATCGGCAAAAGCCGTTATAGCAACATCCAGGGACAGAGCATTCCAAACTTCAACCATTCTGTTACAAACATTCGTGTGCCCTGTATGGCCCGCGTCACACGTGGTTTGAATAGATGATCTCGCAATTTCGTAGTTATTGCTAACTTAAAGAAATTATCAGGTAAAAGGCAGCAGTCCTGACCACATATAATACGAAAATTGTGTGTCAGGTCACCTCGTAGTTGCCTGTATCTCAAAAGAAACATACCGAGTTTAGACAGGAGTTTCTCACAGGGTAATGAGCCCTGTCCGTCCACCAGCTTGATTGGGCGCCTTTCAGACTTTTCGAGGATGTTGAGATTTTTTGGCAGTTCAATTCCTTCAAGCTTTGATGGTGAATTCCAGTTGCGAATGTGCACAGGTTCCAAAGACTTTAGCGAAGTAATCTATATCAATGACCGAAAAGGCCCGTTTCACGAGGTACAGAACTTGCATCGCAGACTTGGCTATTTCTAAACGATGCCGCCATTGTATAACCAACGTCATGATCCACATTCACGCATCCACTTCGTGCAGTGCTAGGTCATTCACACATTTAGCTATAGTATTCTGAGAGCTAAGTCGGCCAGCTCGTAGGATATTACACTTATTCTCATAAAACAGCAGAAGCCATGCCTTTGACCAATGCTGAAGTCGACTTGGGTTCGCCTGCAAATGCTTTTTGTCAGCTGATGGCATGTAGTACACCACCCGTCTCTCCCCCTCCCCTAGCATAATTTTGATAAATTATTTTATTCCGCATGTTGTAGATGGATGCTAGCAGTCAGAGAGGAGTGTGTATTTGTGCGGTATGGTTGATGGCCAGCGATTTAGGTGATATATTACGGCGTACTGCAGTCCATCAGCGATCCTGACAGTACATTTTCCGTCAGTTTTCACAGTCAGTGGATGAGACTACCCAAGTAAGTATCACTTAGCATGTGACGCCTGATATTAAAAGCTGCCTTGGCATCGGTTTGGCAGAGCGGTAGCCATGCTACTCCGGGTTTTTTACACGTGGAGGAGGTAAAAAGTCGATTGCGATTGTAGTTTAATACATTCTAAGAGCAGGTCATGTGCTCTAGCCGAGGAAATTTCCATAAGAAGCGGGAGTACTCATTTTCTAGAACGAAGTTCGAGTTATAAAAAATCTCAAGTGAGGAATGAGATAAATACCAACGGTAGGGTTGTAAACAGCGTAGGCGACTGCAGTTGGCATGAGTGAACCAATTTGAGGGGGCGGTTGCGGCTGGCACTTGTACTTCGACGGCAAAACGGTATGACACGTCAGTGCGGATTGATTAGAGAGGAGAGAGATACTTTTGGCAGTAGAAGTAAGATCATATTTTGGGAAGGAGGTCTGGGTGCTGGCACTCATACAGGGACTGTTATGCTGGATTGGGAATGAACCATGGTCTGGGTTACATGGACTGTGAGTGGTTGATGATCTCCAAATCGCTGCACGACAGGATGTGGGTTACGAAATCCTCCATACCGTGGTCACATAAGATGACACAGGAGAATTAAGTTTGAGTCGAGGGGAGTTTGATGACGATTGAGTTCGGCCTTAGCGATAATTTGCGAGTTCAGCTCATGTCGAGGCCCAACAACATCTTTCAGGGGGAATCTTTGTCCCTCTGATCTTCACGTCAGTTTGATGTGCGAAGAGAAGACGTGAGAAGCTAGGTGAAGCGGATAGTTTATTTTGTACAGAAGGAGTGGAGATTATATGGGTTGAAGTGGACTCTCGGACGAGTGCAGTCCGGCAGCGAGTGGCCGATGTCCGAAGTAGGACAGCGTAGGCAGTCATCGCAGTAATGGCCCTTGTGCGTCGGCCTTGAAGGTGATTGGCCAGACCGGGGGAGGCGACCTAGTACATGCATTGCGTGCAGGTTGCGGCACCTGCCATTGGATGTGTCAGATGCAGTTTTAGATTTGCGATCACGTA